AAAAAAAAAAAAAAAAAAAAAAAAAAAAAAAAATGGAAATCACTAACATAGTCGGTTATTTCCACTCATACATTTTCATACATTCTATTTGCGAAAACTCCAAACAAGACAAGGGAAAAAAAGAACGAACGAATAAAACGTATGATGAAAAAGCAGGAAGACAAAACAAACAAACAAACAAACAAAGCAACAAACAAAAACTGGACAATTGAAACTATAACACTCGATTTCACAGTTGCCAATACGAAAACTAACAACAGAGAAAGAACCGCGTACAAAGATGATGATTGTAATATAACAGCAAGAAAAAACAACCTGCCCATTAATAAACAGGAAACATACCAATAAACACAGATACATACTCATACTCATACTCATACTCACATTCACGCTCACACTCACACATACCGCACCGACACAAATCCACATATATCCGTTCACTGGCGCACACATACAAATACACATAAACGTATAAAGATACTAATAGGTTCACAGACCTACAAAAAAAAAAAAAAAACATATATATATATATATTGACTAATCCTGTAACTTAGCAACCCGAAGTGCAAATAAAATGTGTACAACTTACGACGAACAATAACTGGATTAATAAAATACGAAAAAAATGGCTTAGACACAACTGACACACCATTTTACAAATACAGCAAAAGAAAGCACTGGTACCGTAAATTTCTCTTTACTTTAAATTTCGTTTTGCTTTTTTCTCTTGTTTTTTATTTTTTTTTTATTTTTGTTTTTGTTTATTTATTTATTTTTGTTGTTTTTGTTTGTTTTGTTTGGTTGTATGTGGTCTAACCATTGAACAAATATAATGACATCAAAAACTGAAAAAATGAACTTTTGAAACTATCCTTCCAGTAAAGCGTCACTAACCTTTTTGAACAAATACTGTGGTTGTTGTTGTTGTTGTTGTTGTTGCTTTCTTCCATCTCTTTTGCTTTGTTTAGTTTTTTTTTCCTTCCTCCATTTCCTAGCATAAGTTCCTAGCTGAGAAGTCTGTCGTATTAAAAAAAATTATGAAGAAATACAAAGTAACAAACACAACAACTAATCTCATAACGCCTACGGTTACTTTTCAAATTAATAAAAGATGGCACAAAAAAGAATATTTTGAAGAAACTCAACAAACAATTTTAGAATTTTTAAGAAAAAAATAAAATATTTCCTGGGCTGTATATCGACTAAGAATGCAAAAACAAATAAAGTCTTTTCTGTTCTGTCCAAAAGGTAAAATGACCGCCTAAATAAGTGATCAGAAAAGTAGGCTTTAATTTTCCTTCTAGTTTAAACAGAAAAACTAAAAAATCAGAAGAAAATAGAGACAACAATAAAGAAATACACGAACACTATATCAAACTGACTTTTTACAAAGGGATTCTCATTCATATATATTAATGGTGTCTATGTACAATGATACACTGGTAGACAAAAAATATAGTTCGAAAATGCATTAAAAAATTATATCTAGCTATCCTCCACTGTAACAATGAATAAAAATACAGCAAATATGAAACAATGAAAAAATAGTAATAAAAAAATTTTACGCCGAAGTCATCGTTCACTAATGAATACTGTCACATCGAAAATACGACTGTGCAAAGAAAGCTGTATATAAGCCCAAATATATGTTATCAAATTTGAAACCCATTGAAACGACAAAGGTTTTTGTCACCTTCTCCTTTATTTTTCTTGTTCCTTTTACATAATCCTCTGCATATTATGAGAAATCCATATTCGTTGGATGCTGATATACAGCAAGGCCAGAATTTTGACTTTGTTGGTTGTCTGGTGAGAAATTTGCTCGATCCCAATGTACATCAGGTGACATTTGACTAGGAATATGTGAACCATGTGGCGATGGACCACCTCCTGCTGCAGATATCATTGGATCTCCCTAAACAGATTCCGTCTAGGAAATTTCTACGTAAAAACTTTTCATACTATCACTATATGATAATCAGTTTTTACTATACAGTCTCATAAATTGATCAGCGATTTATAGTTGAAAACTTTAAAAAAACTTTGGTAGCTATAAATCCTATTACAAATGACTTTATCTCCTAAGTGACCAGACTTCCTAAAACCATCAAGAAGAAAGAAAAACTATTTAAAACCTCACCTGAAGTAATGGGTCAGGAGAATGGTATGAGCTCAGATCTTCCATAACGAGATCAGGCAACGGTTGCTGCTGAGTTGGCAAAGACGATATATGACCATGCCTCCAATCCAATGCAGTTACTGATGGTTGCTCAGGGGAACTGCAGTTTTCAAGATTTCTGTCTATGCTGTACTCACGCGGACTACAATAAATTTCTCATTTTCAAAAACTTTGTAAACGAAATGTTGCAAAATAGATCAACAAATTCCTATGCACAGTTTCCACATCTGGAAAGCAACAACAAACCTAAACAAGCCTCCATTTTCATTCGACCTATTCTGCACGTGATAATTGATGCCGCTAATAGCCATTGCAGCTGTGTTGTCAGATAATTGTGAAACAAATCCCGTAGAAGACTGAAAAATAAACAACAATTCATAATTTTAAACTGTTTTT